ATATATATATATATATATATATTTTTTTAGATATAAATATCCTAGATATTTTTTTTCTCTTAATGTATGTAACGAAATCTACCGCGAGGCATTAGCAACTGGACCATTTACGTGATCGACATCACGAAGGACCCGTTCTGTCATCTCCGTTCTGGTCGTTCTTAACACCGGCAGGGAGGGAAGGGCAAGTCGTAGTGTATTCCAGTACACATATACGTGTAGCTAAATGTTCGCGAGAGCGAGTAGCATTGCGACGGCGCATTCGTCAACGATATGACGGCTGATAGAAGTGCGCATGCAGCCACGTGCATACGCGAACACATATGCACGCGTACACATAGAGCCGCTATCACGGTGCGCACCTGTGTGCGTAAATATTTTCACGTGCGATTATTCGCGGCGCGGCCAGCGGTGGACGGATAGGAGGACGTTATTAGACGGGGTAGGATGGACGCTCGCGAACCCGCGACACTTAGTTTACGTCGAGCGTTCCGCGGGAGCGTGTTATCTCCGTTATCGGAGTGCCGGCGACGAGAGCATGACAGACCAACGCGACGCACGTCGCACCCAGTAAGTCATTCGCGTATTTGAATTTGTGGCCAGCACGCGGTGGACCGTTCGCTAACTCGCGAAAACTGCCTGGCAGGAATCACTTTCGGAAGGACAGTCCGAATTTGCCTCTCGGGACGATCGGTCGGGCGGCGCGTTTGTTCATTTTGTGAACGGTTTCGTCAGTGGACATTAGACGACAGGGAAATTGGTGTCCAGCGGAGACGATGCGGGAAAAATATGTTGTATTAACTGAACGCGTTTAATTTTCCTCTGTTGAGAGTTAAAGTACCTTCGTACATTAATTGCCCTGATATTGATCGTGTTTGATTTATTGAGCCGTGTGCGAGCGTGACGCCTCCCAATCAACAGGCATATTCATTAATCTTATCAAACCCGTGCAATTCTCGATATTTAGTGAAACTTGCAAGCGGAATTTGCACGTCGGATGTAGTCTCAATCTGATGTAAAATATCCGGACAGATATCATTACAAAGGGGTGTGGGGGTTCGATGTGTTTTCGAGGGTGAAACTGATCAATTAGCGCTTTCGCCAAATCAGTTAGGGACTTTGCAGAATGAATGAGTCTCTTTCGGTGTCAGATTATTAAGCGTACGCCGGACTCATGGCACGAAGTTTGACGGACGTTTTCACGCCAGTGAAAATCAGTTGTTACAGTCGGAGTCGGTCTGAGTGAAGGAAATCGTCGAGTCCGCGGTTAGTCGTCCTCGCGGGACGGAAAAGTTGGAGAATGAGATTTCGGCTTGATCCGCGAATCGATTCGCAGTTCCCGCGAGCTCGCGCTGCTGCAAAGTGCGACGAGCGCAGTGAGCGCGCTCATTAAGAACGGAAATGTTGCGAGACTTTGATAACATATTTAAGTGTCGATAATGATGAGTAGATAATTCCTAGCGAGTGTTTTCGATACTGCCCTTGTATCTTTTATCTTTCGTTCGTTATTTTCCGTTACTTTTGCATCCTATTCTCGACTATCGATACGTATGCACGCACAAATGGCGCGTACTCGCAAGTGAGACCATACTTTTGTTTGAATTTATAGGTAGTAAAGCTCCGGGAAAAGGCTCCGGCGGAAGGGACGTTCTCTTGGTTCGGCTCTCGTCGTCACTCGTATCAGATTCAATCGGTCCAGTTGATATCTTTTGCTAATGTTGGTCACGGATTCGGAACAGACGCAGGTGTCCGGGAAAATGGATAAAAACTCCGGCGATTACGTAAAGACCATGGAAGCAGGCGTGTCACCGTCACAGGTGTGAATCATTTTATCGCTAATTAAGTCTAATAAAGAAAACTGTATGTGTGGAAAAAAGTGGAAAATTATGGACGAGTGCACGTGAATAATCGTGAGAATCAGTAAAACAGATAATAGTCTTCGCTTCGAATTAAGACGTATTACTTGGCGCGAAGTTGAACTTCCTCTCTCGTTGCAGTGAGATTTGAATATTTTTAGCGCCGTATTCACTTTGATATTGTTGGAAATGTAATCCTAGATTATATTAAATCCGTTTTGAGGTTAAAATCGAAAGTACCAGTGGTACATGCTAATCTTGAACATTCTCATTGTTTTGGTCTTAAAATATAAATATTTAAACTTTTAATATAAAATATATATATAAAAGTTTAAATATTTAAATACTAAAATAATAAGAGTGTCCAGGATTAGATACGTGCCCGGGAATTGATACTTTTATCTCATATCCCGATACACTCGTCAACATGCGTCGAAGCACAGTCTTTTTGTCGTTTGATAGTCGGAACGTATATTTGAGATTTTCTACAGTCATATAAATAATAAAATCATGTTCCAAAACATCACTTGTGCTAATTATCATCAGGGAAATTCTGAGACGCGCTGAGAAAAAGATATTTTAAAAATCTTATCTGTGAGATATGAAACTGACTCACATGACTAAACTTGTGATTTCACCGTTAGAAACAAGTTTTGTTTTACAGAAATAAACTTTGTGTCCTACAAATAATTCTTGAGTATTTTTTTCTCAGTGTGGTACTCTCTAAAATTCTTAGAGTGAAGTTTTATTCTAAACGAGTGAATATTCACTCCAAGTAACAGTGAAAGTACTGTCACTCTGAATGGAGTGACATTTCACTTTTCGTAAGAGTGAATATTTCACTCTAACTAGAGTGAAAATTTCAGTCCAAGTAGAATGAATTTTTATAATTAGGTAAAAAGGAAAACCTTTAGTTCTATCTTGTTTGTAGTTGTTAGGTGACTATTGCAATCTTTTTAATGGTATGCTATTTAATTAATTTTTCCATTAATAATAGCTTGGAAAAATTCGCTGACTGTTAGTGGGACTTGAACTTAAAAGCTTTTAATTCTTGAATCATTTGCTTTACTTACCGAGTCATTGTTATTAACTGATGAATGATTCTTATACGCTGTATCCAATTAGTGAAATTATTCACTCTTTCACGAGTTGAAAGTTCACTCCATACAAGTGAAAAGTCACTCTAACTCGAGTGACGCTCGTCACTCCGAGCGAAAATTCACTCCACGACACAGAGTGAAAATTTTCACTCCACGATATAGAATGAGAAGTCACTCTAATTCGAGTGACTCGGCTATTACTCCGTTTTTCAAATGACATTTTCATTCCAAGAAATTTAGAGAGTACTGAATCTTCCTTTGTTGAACTTAACACACTCCATCTGTTCATGAGCGAATTATCAGACACCTTGTGTAAAAATTTTGCATTTCGCACAAAGTTTTATTCTCGATGTCGCCCTTGAGCGATATAGAATCTGCGTTCAAGCGTAACAATCCGCTGCCGCGTAAAAGCAAATTGTCAATTATTTCATGAAGGTTTCGCGTTTTGCATTTCACAATTACGAGTAACAATTGCATGTAACAATTACGAAGCTCGGCGTTATTTGGCGCGCGCCAATGTTCGTGTCATTGATTGCAGGTGCCGGAGACAAAAATCTATAAGAGACGATGGCTCATCCTCATCATATTCGTACTGTACAGCGCGAGTAACGCGTTACAGTGGATTCAATATAGTATTATAACAAACATCATAACTCGTTATTACAAAGTTACGAGTTTCCTAGTGAACATGACAAGCATGATATATATGATAACGTACATACCACTTATATTCCCCGCTAGTTACCTGCTCGACAAATTTGTAAGTATTCATAAATAGTATTAAGTTAAAAATAAAATACAAAGACGATTGAAATGTAGTGCGCTATTAAAAGGAGTGACGTTTCCTTATACGTAGTCGCAGATCTTGTTCTATTAATTTTTGTTTTTAACACGCATTAATACACCAGCAGTCGATTTCCGTTGATTGTGCAAAAACTTAACTGATGATTGAATTACGAAATATGAAAAATGACAAATAAGTGTAATTCACATATATCTTTTATCTTGCTTCGTTGACTGTATGATCTATTAGTTATATAATCGATTTTTCAAACGCAATTGAGAAAATTATATAAAAAAATACTTTTCTACATATAGAGAGCATAATTCTAAATATTAAGTATATACTCAGATAGAAAAATGTATTTATTCTGAGCTCATATTGTACTCATATATCTTCAGAATATAAGGACAAGAATACACACACCGATGCGGGCTCATATGTGGCTCAGATATAGTTCATGTCATAATATCACAAAAATACCTCATTTAATAATAATAATCAACATCATGTCAAGAACTTGCAACATAATTTGTACATCATTTGTGTGCATCTCGTACTCATGTCATGAAATCACGTAATGATCTTTAAAAAAGTACCAAATTGAAGTCATAGTATGAAGTCACATTGTGATGAAACATGATCATCACGCATTTCTATCTGGGTATGTATGAGAGAAAGACTACTTTTGAAGTATAAATTATTTTTTTCTATAAGCGTGCGTATACGTAACTTAGTGAGACGCGATAATATCATAGCGTCGATCATACTATGTTAATAAAACCTGTAGAAATATATATTGTAGAGATAGTATTTTAGGGATGATATTTTAGGGCCTCAGATACGCCGTGATCTTCGGGGCACTCGGAACGGCCCTAGGTTCCTGGATCAAAGTGTTCAGCGTGGCAACTGATCGCTTCTGGATCACGTTCCTTGGTCAGACTTTAGTGGCGGTCAGCCAAACCTTTATCCTGTCCATTCCAGCCCGTCTGGCGGCAGTGTGGTTCGGACCTGACCAAGTTAGCAGTGCTTGCAGTATTGGTGTTTTCGGCAACCAGGTAAAACGATGCGTTATTAATTCCAAATATGCTATACTCGGAGTGGAATTCGACACGAGACTTGGGCATTTAATCAAGAAAAGTAAAGAAAGAAAAGGCAAATAAGAGCTGCATTCTTATTTACCTTTCCTTTCTTTACTTTCTTCGACTGTATATTTGCATTCTGTTTTATCTCAATTGCGCTTGTGCGCGTATTTGCCTTTTCTTTCCTTACTTTCTTTAATTGTATGTCATAAGAGTCTTTCTCTTTTAATTTCTTAATATCTGGGTATTTAAATCACGGTTTTCAAATCGCTTTTATGATCACGTCCTTGACTTTTGCCCGACCAACATTGGTTAAAGCTTAATTCGAATTTAAATTCTACTCGGACAAAGACTTAAACTTAGATTAAACGACGTTGATAGAAACTGGAATTAGAGGTGTCAATTCTGAGTATACCTGGATATTGGACGGATATTGCCATGGTTAAGTATGAGAGTAAAATCAGTAAAAATAGTAAACACCTCGCAAAATATTAAATTTTTACTTTAGAATATATGTCAAAATAAAATACGAAATATGTGGTTGTGCATTTACTTTTCGTTAGTCTTACCTCAATATTTTTACACGCAGAATGGTGAAGCGAATATATTTAAATAATGTTAAACATGTGATATCGTTAAAAAATTCAACATCACTTTTGAAATTTACTTCGTATGCAAAATCGTTTATAGCATGTCGACTTAAAGAAGTACGAAGAGTTGACTGAGTGTTGGCCCACGCGATAAAATCGCAGTGATTGCGCGAATTAAAACGGATTAGAAGCATGCGATAATTTATCAGTGATGATGTCGAGTAAATTTTCTAATGCACGGCGTATCAAAACATCAATGAAATGTTTCGCGTTTTCGTTTTTTAGTTCGGTAATTTAGGCCGGTTTGAGTGTAAGTTTCATAGGAGACGCTTAATAATTACCCGATTATCCAATCGCTGTCGTTTCTCAGAATCAACGATCACTGCGTTTGTTGCGCAAAAACGCATGAAAAGATTTAATTCTACTTGAATCATCGATCTAAGAGTCGCGACGCCGAGAATGTCGAAGGATCAGAAGAAAAAGAGGCAGGATATACGTGCAAAAAGATTTCGAAACAAGTTTCGAAGAAAAACGCTCGAGTTATCAAATTTTTCCTCATTGTCATTACGCAACGCCTATTATCCTCGTTTGTAGTTAAACGTCACCGCGACACTGCTGCATGTCAACTGCATCGGCGCGGATACCACTCGATGTGTTCTGCTCTTAAAAAACGCGCGACATTGGGAAGGTACTCGATTGTCACTGCGAGATCAACACGTGTCGTCGCAGTGCGAGAGAACGAGAACGGGACGAGCGCGCACGGGATAACGGAAGTGGTAGTCTGGAGTGTGTTCCTCGCCAATCGAGGAAGGGTGCTCGGAGAGATTGAAATTGCGACATGATTAGGTGGGAAACCGAGTCCAAGTGGGCACCCACGATTAATTTTACTACCTACTCGCGGCAGACGATCGTGTCTCTGTTGCGGGGGAGACGGATGGGACAACTGGGGGAGGAGGAGGAGGAGAAAGAGGAGGTAGAAGCGGGGGCCCACTCTATATCGCGAGAATTGATCCAAGGTGCAGACTATCAGCCTGTAGTTCCGTATCAGCCGTCGCGCCCTGGCTTTATCGGCGGATTTATCTGCACCTTGTTGATTTTGCAATCGTTCGGAAGAAAGTTCGATCGATTTTCCCTTTTTTTCTGTCTGCATCTTGATTACAATGTCGATTTTGCAATCGTTCGGAAGAAAGTTCGATCGATTTTCGCTTTTCTCTTGTTCCTCGTGGCGATATAAAACTCATGTCTTACACACTTGAAGAAAATAAGAAGTATTTATTACATGACTACACTAATAACATACTATAATAACATACATACTTATATTAATATAGATATTTTTATAGCGAAGAAAATATTTTTCGAGTAAGAAACGTACATTTTTTTAAAACCCATCTTTTTACGAAATCAATTGTTTGTTCTATTTAAATACGTAAGAATTTAGATTTAATCAAATATGTTATTGATACCCATCGAACTTTTTTTTTATTTTTAGATGTTCTCTCTCTCTCTCTCTCAGTATAATAAATAAAAATAATATTCCTTCGATAAAATAACGAACAAATGTAACGAGGAGTATCTCTTTTAATATAACCCTAGGCAGTGTAAATGTCTAAGAGACGTCTTATAGATATCCAAAAGGTATCTTATTTGTTTTAGTCTCTGAAGACAAATTTCACACATTTGTTTCGTCTGGAAAAGCATAAATTTTTGGGTCGAGATGTCAGACGATCTTTCAAGGCGCACTTCTCTAATTCATGTACGGAAATTGCTTGTTTTATCAATTGGAGAGCTACTTGAATGATATGATTGAATATACAGCGGAAGTGTGAATATATAATACTAATAATTCGACTTGTTTGGCAAACAAAACGACAGACACATTTGAAAATATTGTGTAACGGCACATTACGTTCGCGCCGTTATAGCCCTTACGGAAAAAAATTATAAGGAAAAACTACTGAGAACAACATAGGAAAACTATCGAAGCACTATTGAAAAATATTGAAATACTACTATATACTTATTACAACACTATTGAAAAACTATGGAAAACCTTCGTTAATTTTATAAATAGTTCCTATTTATAAAATTAACGTACCTATTCGTTAATTTTATAAATAGTTTTAATATAAGTTTTCAATAGTTAAAACAGTAATATTTTCGTTAATCGACGAAAATACTACTGTTCTCAGTAGTTTTCTTATAATACTTTTTCGTAAGGGGGCGAAGGTTTTCCTTGCGTTTCTTTTTCTAGATCTCGATTTCTCAGGATATTCGTCTTGTTTTCTGTTGCAGCTGGGCATAGCTATCGGTTTCCTATTTCCGCCGATGTTAGTGCCGAATAGCAGCAACATCTGCGTCATCGAGAAGGGTTTGAGACTTATGTTCTATATAGTCGCGGCTTTCACGACAATTGTGCTGGCTCTCATATTGCTCTGTACGTATATTATCTATTAATCATACAATCTGATAACAAGAGATCTTGGGGAACTAAATTCTGAAAAGTACACATCATTACTCACTCTCATTATTATTCATTAATTATCAATTAACCATTCTCATTTACTCGCAGTAAATGAGAATGATTAATATTTACCTTTGTTTCTTTCGTGATCTTATAAGTTGTCGTATCAATTCTATCGATCGCCGAGCAAAGTGTCTTTTCGTAAAATAAAGGATAAGATAAAAGAAGAAGCTTCAAAAGCACATATAAACGAAAAAAAGAAGAAAGAAGCTGACGTGACGTGAGTCGATCGAATATATACGAGAACTTGTATTTTATTCAATACACCAGTCCCCTCATCATCGATTCGTGTATCCTTCTATCCTTTCGCTTAAAGGAGACTGGTGATTTGTAGTCTTCAAGTCGGAACCACCTTTACCACCCAGCCCTGCGCAGGCTGTGCAGAAGAGAGAGGGCAGAGAGAGCACTGAGAAATTCTCTCACTCCATCAAGAGGCTGCTCACCAATTTCGGCTACCTGTTGCTTCTGCTCAGCTACGGCATCAATGTCGGCATCTTTTACGCCATAAGCACCCTCTTGAATCAAATTGTTCTCCAGTATTTCCCGGTAAATATTTCTTCCAGACAGTCGAGAGGTACTCACTTTCTCGCCAGACTCAACTTGCATCTCCGTGATCCCAGATTTATTTTATCCTTCTTATTTTTGTACAAGAATAGCGTCTATGACATAAGTTCTATGATATAGGATAAGCTCTATAAAAATGTTTTGAAGTCTCTCTCGATTAAGTTGGAAGATTTTCCATTTTCTCTCAAGCTTCTCGATTACATCGTGATCTAACGAGAAGGGATGATGACGTTTTCTTCTCTCCAGGGACATGAACAAGATGCTGGCCGGATCGGCTTGACCATAGTTTGTGCCGGAATGTTAGGCTCCGTTGTGTGCGGAGTTGTGTTGGATAAGACGCACAAATTCAAGTAAGTAGTTGGACGTTACAACTGTTCTACACAATGATGACTTGTACAACTTCTTCTTTAACATTATTTAACATCGATTCAATTTTCTCGAATTAATAAATATGATTTGTCATAGAGTTGCGCGTATATATGCGATCGAATTCACGCATAAAACATGAATTTGCAGGGAGACGACGATAGGAGTGTACGTACTTTCTTTGCTAGGAATGATAATCTTCAGTTTTACACTGGACAGCAGTGGAATATATGTTATCTACATCACAGCTGGCATTTTGGGGTAAATACTTCGGCAATAGCAATTATCTTCCCAGCACCAAACGTGCGACAAGTTTTTCTTTTCATTTACAAATTCAACGACCCCTTGGATCAGTCGTCATCTTTCAGTGTTCTGTGAAAATTCAAACCGCCTCATTTTTTAGTTATAAAAAACGCTCTCAGTCATTTCGGGAACGAGGCTTCAATAGTGAAGTATTAGAGTATAAAAAGTCCCTTATATCAAGAGTCGTATCGAATACACTTCGGATAATATTTAATCATTTCAGGACGGGAGACATCTTTTGATGCTCTACGGCCTTCATGCATGTATTTCAGAAACTATCGATCCGATATTTACAAAAATTGGTATGTAGGGGTTTTTGGGGTCTTTCCAAATTTGAAGTAAGAAATATAAAATTCAAAATGGCGATTTTCAAGATCTTAAATTATGTAAATATGACTCAATTTCCGTGGAACTTTATACTCTCTAAATTTGAATTAGTGAAAATCTTGACTGATTTTCAGTTTTGCTTTTCTTGGAGCTCATCAGTACCACACAGATCTAAACATTTTTTTCCTTAGTCGGTATTTTGAATTTCAAATATTCGATTTCAGTTCTCAAAAAAATATCTTTAGGTTACATTCCAAAACGTTCTTTTTGAGGAAAATTTTACTCAATAGCTATAGTTCACGTTACATATACTATAGAGTATAGAGTAAAATTTCCTCAAAAAGGACGTTTTGGAATACGACCTTAAAAAGTTTCATAGTTCATATTTTACGGAAATTGAGTGATATTTATATTGTTTATCATTTTTTCCGCTATATTGGATCCGCCATCTTGGATCATAGAATTTAAAAAATCTAAGTCGGATTCAACGCCATCTTGGATCATAGAATTTAAAAAATCAGATTCGGATTCAACGATCCCAAAAACCTTTAGAATACGTACTTTCCTATAATTATCTTCCCCAGCAACCTCCGTCCTGAAAAGGTTAAGTGCTCGACCTACGGTGACTATCATGAAATCCATTTGCAGCTTCTTTATGACCGGCTATCTGCCGGTGGGCTTCGAGCTTGCCGCGGAACTCACGTACCCGGAACCGGAAGGTACCGCGGCGGGCCTACTGAACGCGGTGGTGCAGCTCTTCGGTATCACCTTCACGATGCTGTACGGCTACCTGTTCGAAATATGGGGCGACTTTTGGGCGAACATCGCGATGTGTATCACTCTCGCGGTCGGTACACTCCTCACGACCATAATCCCCAACAATCTGCGACGCCAGAACGCGAAGGCTTGACGCTCACCCGATTCGAGTCCGAGTAGCCAACATCGCGGTCCAATCGGAACTTAATTTATTCCTCACGCGTGTGCTAGAAGTAGCGCTGTTCTTCTTGATCACGTCGTAGATGTGTGGCATTTACGGCGAGAGGAGACGAAAACTCGTCGGTAAACTGACTCCTCTCGATCTTGTTGTTATTAGCTGATCTTCTTAATCTCAGGTAAGCGGTAGTAATTAGGCGGCGTTAGGCAGCAACAAGTTAATCCCACGAAAAAAAAAGAAGGGCGCGTAGGGAATAAGCTGGCCCGAAGTAACGGTCGCGGAGAATCGGCAGGAATTCGTGTACCCTAAAGTTACGAGTTCTGAGAACTCTTGATTTTTCGCCGCAATTATTTTATTTGATGTAACGTCAGAAGCGAAGAAACACATGTTCAACATTCTTGGAAAGTATGTGGAAATCAAAAGGTATGCTTATAAAATGACACGGTCGATTTGGAGCAATTGTAAAATTTTAACATGGCACGAGGCCTACTTTTTAACTGCGTTAATTTTAATTATTAACTGCGGTCATTTATTGATTATTGAATTAAGCAAAAGGATAATTTCCGGGATATTTAACAAAATCTGCTCAATTGATGCTCAGCAGTGTCATTCTGCAGGTATATATTCTTGTTCAAACGTATTTTGCAAGAACTTTTAGCTCGTATTTTGCCGCTTCCGACACCATTAATATAGTTCGGTGTGGCGAGAAAGAAAGAGCACGCAACCATTAGTTTCGCCATTTCCTTTCTGTTTTATCATTTTCTTTAATGTATGGTATTCTTCACATGAAGAACAATCTCGAACTAAACACAAAGAGAGAAAGCATAAATTTTTTTAACGAAATATTAAAGTTTAAACTATGTTAATGCGAACTTTCACGTTGTTGCCTATGTGGAAAAATAACAATCGGCCGAAGATAATGATGAGAACAGCAGAACGGTAAACGTAAGAAACATGTGACAAGTATAGTAAGAAATGGCGAGTGTGGCGATAGTGACGGGGTTCGAGTTAATAAATTATTTATTAACGAATGACGATAATAAGTAATTATTACGTTAACGTAATAAGTAAAAACGAGCGTTTATAAGAATAAATACCAGTGTCATCTTTACCGTCTCATTAATTATTAACGATAGGCGATGTCGGCTCTATAACGTTTGAAAATAGCAACCGTGTTACGGCGACGGACACGATTGTCGCGAGTTACGCTTCTATTTTCCTCGTCTGTGTGTGTCGGACTTGACGACGCAGTACGATAGTCTGTGCCTAGTCCGTGTCCTTAACGTCGACCGCCTAATCATTTGCGATCTAATGAAACGACGCAGTTCGATTCAATTGGATATGTGCATTTAATGTAAACGACAGTTGTTGGCAAATGTTTTCCTAGGCCGCTTATGTCGCCAAGAAGTGAACGGTTTGTTAGAGTGTGTAGCTATCTGTGTGAATCTAGAGCTAAATTAATCCAATAGTGCCCAATTACAGATCGTAAAATCACACATTAGTGCAAATATGTTGTCCTGAGTACGAAATTGTTGTACATTGCTCTCCTTATCGCCAGATTTTGGTCTTTTATGTCGCTTACTACTGATTTCTCCTCACTACAAGCGTTTGTTAACGGTCTAACGATTAGCACAGTAGTGCTATACTATATGCTGCTGTGGCTGCGTCCCAAAATTCGCTGTTAGTACTGAAAATCTGTAGTTTGTGTCACGTATACTGTATAAAATTTCAGTATTGGCAATGAATTTCGGAACATAGCTTATGTACATTGTGTATGTACTAGTCTATTGGCAGGAACGAAGTGGAAAGTGAGACATCATCGCATAGGTGATGTAAAATGAATTTTCTCTTTTAGATTTATAAAGCCTTGTGTCCACGATACTAGAAATCAGTCCGAGATCTTGATCCGAGAAACGTATAACCAATAAAACTGTCGCCTTTCCGTAAAAGCTGCAAATGGGTTAGTTGCTTTTTTCTCAGATCTAGATCTCAGGCCGATTTCTAGTATCGTAGATACAAGACTTAAGACCGTTAGCAGAAATGGAGAGGGCAATAGTAAATGATGCAAAGGTCCAAGGTCTCATTATCAGTCAAGAATTCAAAAGGATCCTTATTGTAAGGATTTAATTGTGAACGTAAAAGTCGCACCATCTAGCCATCGTTGTGATTCTCCACTCCGAAACGCAAACAAAGAGATTCACACAATCGTGTTAGATACTTATTCTTGTGCGACGTATGAATAGCGTTCCGTATAAATTGTCATTGATCGTGTTTTACCGTGATATATGCGTGGTTATTATAATTTTATATCGCGCGTGTCAACAACTCCAAGCATCCGCTTCCAAATTAGCGACAAATAAATCGTCTTCCAACGCGACGTCTCGTCATTATATTTTTTAGGCAATTTATCGTTCCCACAAAGATTGTTCTATTTTGTAAATAAAATGTTAAAAGATACTGCAATGTGAGTTTTTTTTCACCCGTCAACTTTAAGGACAGATATTGAGACTAATATTGGAACAGATAAGAGCACATTAAAAATATATATACGTTACAAACATTTTTCAGGTAGGAAGATTAAATAAATTAAACTTGAGAAAATAAATTCACATATAATTAAATATCAATGTAAATTGTGTGTGACATTTGGATGCACGTCTTTTACGTGATAAGATTTTTCGATATATCAATTTCATGTTTAGCGCTGTTTTAATATGAAAGACAAATAAATAAAAAAAATCTGATATTTTTATAATAATTAAATAGAAATAAATATGTGATATTATGATATTTAATAAATCTTTTATTTATGAAATCATTTATCCTATATTCGCTTAAATATTGCGTTGTCGATAACGGAGTGTATGCGACGAAATGATAAGGGACTTTTATTTTACATCGATCCGGACGAGGTAACATGATCTGTAACATTCTTTTTACATATTTGTCTTGTATATTTTCAATGTTGCGGCGGATATAAAAAGTGTTAAACGATTTGAACGCGAAGTTGCGAATAACAAAAACTCCGTCTACTCTATGAGTTTCTTCATCCTGAAGTAACGTCGGAAGTAAAAGAGCTGCCACGTGGACAAGGCAAAGAGGGTGCATATCGAAAATAAGCTGAAGTATAGTACTCGGGTATTTGTCGCCTCTGAAATAGAAGAGTATGCTCGTTAATACTCGTTGCACAGTCGTCAAATGACATCGTGTATTCCAGAACTACAAGAAATTGATTCTCAATTCGCTTATGTAATTTTAAGCTTTGAAACAAATGGCACAGCTGCTTCCTTTGAGGACTTTTCTACTGTTTATCTTTAAGAAAAACAAAGAGACATTAAGAAGATTTTAAGAATAAGAGAATTTCATAATCCCCTATATTATATTCTTGATTGATGTTCTTTTATCTCCCCTCTTGTTCCTTTTTTCTTTCTCGATATACCGTTTGTGTCTCTCATCTCTTCCTCATTCTTGCGCATTCTTGCAAAATCTTGCACTATCGCTTCAGACAGGTCCTCCAGTCGCTTCAACTCCACTTCCACTGGTTTCAGCTTGGCTGCCTCGCCGATCTACGATCGGATAAGACAGATAATGATGATTCTCAAAGCCAGCGAGACGATCAATGAGGTGATCGATAGAAATCAAACAAAATCGAGCACATCTATTGCTGAGCAAAATTAAAGCGTAGTGAATGATCTTACTCTTTGTGTATGTGTGTATATGTGTGATTAACTTTTGAGGGGTCGAAGCGACCAATTGCATAATTACGACATTATTACGGATGATACGTTGTTTTAATTTTGCATTAACGCAACACTCACGATGACGAAAACATGCAATAAATTAACGAAACTGTGCTACGTTCTAGCTCTACGACTGGCTGAGGTGTCGTATGATGCCAGTTTGGTGATAAAACGCATGCCAGTGAGAACACAATATTGAAAACTCTACTTTACCAACTGCGCGCGCGCATCGCGGAAACAAGCCACATATAAAAAGAAAGTATAAAGGAACGTCAGAAAATTTTTCACATGTTTTTCACAACTATACCGGCCAAATATAAGATTCATGAAAAATATGATTATCTATTACGATATATAGTTAGATGAACTTACGCCTTCATAACTCTTAGCTTCGATACCGCGTTTTGTGATTAGCATAACTTCTTGTCTGACACCTCGTTGATCTGAAATCGTATTTAACATTAATCTGGTTGACTGGTGAGATAACTCTCCAAAATTTATATTATATATTTGACAACATTCCTGTACTTTAAGCATTTTTGTACATAAAGTATGTTTATAAACATCTGCATATGTAGCTGTTGTGATTTAACTGAATTATTTCACAATAGGGATAGTTTCATAATAATTAAAAATATTAGTATACTTACGATTTGGAACATGCGAAACAAAACATATTTCAAACGTATCATAAGTTTCAGTAACAAAAGAAAACTTTAATAGTTTTCCATGAGGAATATCCTCTTTCTGGGACAATATATGTCCTTTGGAATCTTGAATCTGGAAATAATGAAAATATTGGTTTCAAATTCATATACATTATAACAATATATTACTTACGACTGATAACCATAATTTATCCTAGAATCTAAACATATGTAGAATCTAAACATAAAGAAAAAGAAATATATATATACACACAGCATACAAAAATCTTATTCTTTTAAACTATATTTTTTATATTTGCACATACCTTTTCTTGTCTTCTTTTATCTAAGAAAGTGTGAATATAGTTTATTTGAAATAAAATATTAATATCATTTTAAATAAAATATAATACAAAAACTAAATAAAATAAAATATAAAAACTAAAATTAATCAAATGAAACCAATAGTCTGTTCTGTAGAAATTTTATTTTTTTTAATTTTTTTCCACTGTTTATATATATATATCTGACTTAAAAAATATGGGAAACTTAACATAAGGTTCATTTTTCTTCCATTTCAGTCATACTTTTCATATTCAATTTCTTTTTCTTATTGTACTTTCAAAGTTTAAATTTCATCTGATACTATAATTTCATCTCAATTTTACCTCAGAATGCAGAAAGAGCGGGGAAAAGAGTCAAAACAAACAAACTTTCGGAATGGAGTCAAAAAGAACAGATTTAAAGGCGCGAGGTTAATCGCTCCTGCTTTGCTCCCAGAATTATTTCAACACGAAATAGACAAAAGATCGCTCTGCGGCAAATTAGATAATAAGATCTACTTACTACGTAGTCTGTCTTCTGACCTAATGCTTCGGATACTTCGTATTCGCCCGTGACAAGTACGTTTGCGTGCACTTCCTCCTTCAGACACTTGTGACTGTTTGCTTCCAGATAAAACATAATGCCGTGTGCCTGAGCGATTAGCAAAACTGCCAGAAAGGTCCTAACACTAGAACGACTCATCCTGACAGTTGTTGATGACGATTCGCTACAATCGTCCTGAAGATAGGAATTTAACGTATCACGCACCTCGTGCAGTTACAGGACATCCGTCACCAACATGCCGCGATGAGGTGGCAGCCATTGGCCATATTGATAATCAGAAGGCGATATATCGATATATCTGCAATCGATATGTTGATGTTCGTTTTTAATCTATCGAGAAATATTCAATTCCAAGCTATCGATTAGAATCGATAGTCACTTTCCAACAAGGAAAGCGGGTTGATATTGGAATTAGAATGGTGTTGGGGGAAAATTATAGGATTACCTGAAGCCCAATTCTCGACAGTGTGCGAATGAGATGTGCATGTGAAAATCTATAGTATATGTAACGTAAACTATTAGCATGTTCGACTGGTTCTGAGTTAACTCATTCTGGGTTATTCAGCCTACGTTTATTGGTCGAACAAGTACTTTATAAGCTTTATGATTGGCTAGTAGAGACTTAGACGTCATTAATCGCTCTCGGAGCGATTAACTCAGGGCCAGTCGAACATGCTATTAATTTCAGATGCTATTATTACAAACAAACTTCCAATAGCTCTCACATTTGCAGTATCCATCTACAACTCATTAATAAATTAATTTTTCCATATTTTTTACTACAATTATCCCAGCAAACACAAAATATAATTGTAACTTATATAACATAGACATAACACGTATTCTTGTTACTTCTATGTGTTTAGCAGTTATGTCTTTCTTTGTTAAGATTGTAATATTTCGACTATATTTAATACACATTTTTGTACATTTATTGAACATATTACATCAATTACTACTATTCTTTATCCTTTTCATCCATTAACCCAGACAGCACAAAATATTTATAAAATATTTACAAAATATTTATAAGATTTATTTGAATATTTTATGAATATTTACCAAAATGTTTCATAAATATATTTACAAATATATTTACAAAATATTTTTGTGACCTTAGATTCAATAGATGAAAAATATTTATATATCTCATAAATATTATAAAAATATTTATTAAAATATATACATTTTTCTCTTTCCTGAATTTTTCTTAAAATTTGCATTTTATTGTTTCACACGCTACTTAATTGAATTTAAATTGTACTTTGAAAATTTGCTTACCATTACTGAGATTCAAATTTATTATTTTTTTATTAATTTAATAATTTTAAATTATTACATTTATTTTTTTCATATATAATATTTGTAAATAGATATATTTACAAAATATTACTACAAATATTTATTTTTCGTTTACTATAAATATTGTATAAAATATTTAATCTGTATTTTAATAATATTTTCAATAAAGATTTTAATACTTTTTCCTTCATGTATATAAAATATTTATATAATATTTTTAAGAAATAATCCAAAATAAATATTTATCATAAATATTGTGTGCTGTCTGAGGAACACACTACTTTCTGCTGCACATCAAAGAATTGTATTCGTACTTAATAGCGTGTTCGACTAGCCTTGGGTTAATCGCTCCGAGAGCGATTAATGACGTCATAAGTATCTACTAGCTAATCATAAAGCTTATAAGTACTTGTTCGACCAATAAACGTAGGCTGAATAACCCAGAGTGGGTTAACCTAGAGCTAGTCGAACATGTTATAAGGTTCCTGCATATTCGGAACTTATCCAGACGGCACAAATGTCCAAAATCGAGTCATAAAAGTCTTTAAGGCAACTTTAAAACATCTTTAAGACAATACTTTATAAACTTGTCTTAAAGACAACTTAAAGACGTCTTAAAGACGTCTTATGTCCCACTGTTATGGCTTTCGCAGACCAGTGCGATGCGCGACGCGACACACGATATGCGACGAGCGATATCCAATGAGCGTATTGGTATTCCTGAAAAGCTGTACGCTCATTGGATATCGCGCATCGCATATCGCGTGTCGCGTCGCAAATCGCGCTGGCTGCGAGAGCCATTAAAGCCATTCTACAATTGTGTAAATGTAGTTGTAAATGATTGTAGATGATTATGACAACCAATCAGAATAAAGCAATCAGTAAATAAAACAATTGGTAAATAATCTAATTGGTTGATTCTTACGTTCATGACCACGCTTACGCAATTGTAGAATGGGCTTTAGACATTGTGTTGTCTGGGCAGGCTATAATTTTTCGGCAACCGCTTGGATTGGGATACTAAAAATTGCAAGCAGTTGCACGATTCTGCTTGCAACTTAAATTAAAGAACGATCAAGATTTACGCAGTCTGCAGCTTGATGTGCGCAATTGGATATACAGAACGATTAAATTATGCATCGGATGCATCGGGTTGTATCTGTTGCGAATAAAAGAACGCACCCCATGTAATTTCACCCTAAGATCTGAAGCCATGG